TGACCTTGCAGAGGACTGGAAATTTTCCTCAGGCTATAAAGTCTCTGGTGTAAGATAAAGATTTGTGGCGGGCCAGCCCGGTGGCGCACTCGGTAGAGTGCGGCGCTTAGGAGCGCAGCGGCGCTCCCGACGAGGGTTCAGATCCCATATAGAGACCGGTCCGCTCACTGGTTGAGCGCTGTGTGGGCGCAACACCGAGGGTTGCGATCCCGTTACCGGTCACGAAAAAAAAAAGACAAAAAGGAAAAAAAACTGCTCACTGGTTGAGCGCTGTGTGGGCGCAACACCGAGGGTTGCGATCCCATTACCGGTCACGAAAAAAAAAAGACAAAAAGGAAAAAAAAAATTTGTGGCACAGCAAGGTTGCTGGCTCAAGGACAGACAGGTTACTGCTTGATATGTGTACATACTGGAAAATTGCTGGAGGAAGAAGTGTGGCACAGCAAGGTTGCTGGTTCAAGGACAGACAGGTTACTGCTTGATATGTGTACATACTGGAAAATTGCTGGAGGAAGAAGGAGTGTTTGCTAAGATCAAGCTGTTGTTGATAGGACCACTTAATTGTCTACTGGAAAGTCATCTGGCTTGTTTCACTGAAAGTTACCAGCCTAATTGTTAAACTATAATCCCACCTATGTTCTCCTCCTGTAACTTCCTGGTCTGGAAAATAAATGCAGGAAGAGACCCTCAATTCGGGGTTAATTTCCCAAGGAAGGGATGCCTCTCGCTGGAAGTTCCCAGGAAGATTAACCACTTCGGGGTCTCTCACTGCTCAGAAGAGATGGGCTTTAAGTAATCCTTTGTGTCTCTGTCACGCAGGGGAAGTGGGGTGACAAATCTGTGGGGGACGAAGCAAAACAAAGCAACCCCCCCCAATTCAGCCCTGTTACCTTGGAATCCCTGTCTGATCACTGCTGCCACTGCCTTCAATGGGCTATTGCTCACTTGGGCTAAGCAATCGATTCCTTGATTCCAAGGAAATTCTTTGATTTCCTTTGACTCAGCTAAAAAACTCAAAATGAGTTCTCTGGAAATCGGGAGAAACTAAAAGGGAAACAACCCCAGAGAACCAGCTGATGTGAACCCTGGCCCATATTCCATCTCTTGGTACTCCAGGGGAAAAAAAATGATGTCAAGGAGATTCTGGGTTTTCAATACTTCACTTTGTCCCCTTCTTACTTCATCTTCTAGGATCCCACAAAACATCAACTGGCCAATCAGTTAAGAAGGCAAGTTCTTCATTCAAAACAGGGGAGAGGGAGGCAGAATATTTACTCTGGAGAGACAATAAGTAGTTGTAAATGAAAAAATTCAATGGCAAACTCTACATGGGAACCATACCTACTGATTTTATTAAGGTCTATAACAGGGGTCAGCAAACTATGGGCCTCAGGCCAAATCAACCCACTGCCTGTTTTTGTAGGTAGTTTCATTGGAACACAGCCACACCCAACAGCCACACACATCATGTATTTGTTTTGTGTATTATCTCTGCTGCTTTTGTGCTACGATGGCAGAGTTGAGTAGTTGTGAGAGAATGTATGGGTCTCAAAGCCAAAAATATTTACTACTTGGCTTTTTATGAAAAAAAAAACCTAAAAATATTACTAACCCCTGATCTAGATAATCACCCAGAATCATATTTTCAGTACCCTCAGTGCAAAAAATTCTTCACTTTCATCAAATCCTCTAATCCATTGCTTCTCAATCTTTCATGTGCCTACAAATCACTTGAAGATCTTACTAAAATACACATTATGATTCAGTAGGTCTACAAGGAAGTCTGAGATTCTGTATTTCTGACAAGCTCTAGGGTATATCAGTACTGCTGGTTCCTGGATCAATTTGATCCTATTATTTTTTATTATCAACTATCTGCTGTTATTTCCTCCCTCATTATTCAGCTTAACTTCTCTGGTTCATCAGTAGAACCACTCCCATTCGAACATCAACTCTCTTGCCTTTCTTTTCCTCTGTTACTCTCACCTGACAAAAACCCAGCCTTGGATGAACCCAACATACACTTTCTCCTTGGCTGTACCAATGCAGCTCTGCATTGCAGGAGAAAAATTATCAGACCCATGTCTCTAAATTCATGATCACCAACTTCATACAGGTTCTAACCACAGCCCAGCAATCTTCCAGCATTTCCCTGTCGTTACCTCTCCTATACCCTCAACCACGGCTCCGTACCTCTCCTAGCTCCTCAAATCTCCTATCCTTCCTTCCTTCTCATTTTCAGCAGGTGACCCTGAGTCAGCTTTGTTGAGAACCTCCTTGTGTCAGTTAAGTAACTCTTGTTTTAAAGCAGCA